GGTCTCATTTTACAAACATAACATGCTCTTTCACTTCTCACATTGGCTTTTCTTACCATGGAAACCACAGCTTCCTGATTCTGCCTTTCTCAGAGAATTACAGTAGCAGTAACAATGAAGCAACTTCCCCGATGACTTCTACACAGACATATTATCAGCAGCAGGAAACATGAAACGTCAAATTCCCCAAGACGTTACTTTTTATAAAGTATCTTCTGTATCTAATGTACCATTTTAGGTTGATCACCAACAGTGAGTGTGCTCTTTTAGTGTGTTCCCTATTCACACTTTAGAGCTTATCAGGTTGTAATTTCAAAATATAGAACTACAAATAGAATATGGATGGGAATTCTTTCATCAAAAATGATGAACCTGTTTTTGCATGCCTGGTGCCCACTGATCACTGATATGTAAAGGGTCCATTGCAGTGCAATAAAGCACATGCAATGACGTGTTGCAAGTGGATTAAACTGGTTGTAAAGGCAGGGCATTTTATACCTTAATATACGGGTCTCCAAGTTTTCTAAGCAATGGCCAGTTTACTGTCCTGCAGACTTTAGGGGCCGGACTGCGGTCGGTGGGAGTAGAAAATGTCCTGGCATCAGTGGGTATTGGTATTAGGGGGAGTAATGGAACCCCATCATTGGTATCAATGGGAGGAATAATGCCCCATCATTGGTGTCAATGGGAGGAATAGTGCCCCATCATTGGTGTCAATGGGAGGGATAGTGCCCCATCATTGGTGCCAATGGGAGGAATAGTGCCCCATCATTGGTAATGCCCCATTATTAGTGTCAATGGGAGGAATAATGCCCCATCATTGGTGTCAATAGGAGGAATAGTGCCCCATCATTGGTGTCAATGGGAGGAATAGTGCCTCATTATCAGTGTCAGTGGAAGTAATAGTGCCCTATCGTTGGTACCAGTGGGAGGAATAGTGCCCCATCATTGGTTTCAATGTGAGAGAATAGTGCCTCATTATCAGTGTCAGTGGAAGTAATAGTGCCCTATCGTTGGTACCAGTGGGAGGAATAGTGCCCCATCATTGGTTTCAATGGGAGGAATAGTGCCTCATTATCAGTGTCAGTGGAAATAATAGTGCCCTATCGTTGGTATCAGTGGGAGGAATAGTGCTCCATCATTGGTGTCAATGGGAGGAATAGTGCCTCATTATCAGTGTCAGTGGAAGTAATAGCGCCACATCATTGGTGTCAGTGGGAGGAATACTGCCCCATCATTGGTGTCAGTGGAAGTAACAGCGCCCTATTGTTGATATCAGTGGGAGGAATATTGCCCCATCATTGGTGTCAATGTGAGGAATAGTGCCTCATTATCAGTGTCAGTGGAAGTAATAGTGCCCTATCGTTGGTATCAGTGGGAGGAATAGTGCCCGATCATTGGTGTCAATGGCAGGAATAGTGCCTCATTATCAGTGTCAGTGGAAGTAATAGTGCCCTATCGTTGGTATCAGTGGGAGGAATAGTGCCCGATCATTGGTGTCAATGGGAGGAATAGTGCCTCATTATCAGTGTCAGTGGAAGTAATAGCGTCCCATCATTGGTGTAAGTGGGAGGAATAGTGCCCCATCATTGATGTCAGTGGAAGTAATAGCGCCCTATTGTTGATATCAATGGGAGGAATATTGCCCCATCATTGGTGTCAGTGGGAGGAATAGTGCCTTATTATCAGTGTCAGGAACTATGTCCCACAGTTGCCTACAGTGGGGGGAATAGTGCCCCAAGAGCCAGATAAAAGCAAGCAAAGGGCCATATCCGAGCCACCAGGGCGCAGTCCGGAGACCACTGCCCTAATGCATTCCCTGCATCAAAGTGGTATTAACCACAAAAAATTAGGGTTGCATAGATACCAATACCAGTATCAGTATTGTTGCCAACACTAAGCATATGCAAGAGTACTCTGATACCTGAAACCGATACCTTTGCACTGTGATTTGATCCCATACAAAATAAATGGGCTCAAATTGCACTGCAAAGAATCACATGCAATTTGAACAGGAATGTGGTGCGATTCCTGTCCGAATCAAATGCGGCTTCCCTGTGGATGCAGTGTGATTTTCAGTGTGATTTGAGCCATTCATTTTTTTATGGCTCAAATCTCACTGAAAATCACACCCACATTAAAACTTCATGTGATCCGGAAAGGAATCGCACCACATTTCTGTTCTAATCACATGCAATTCTTTGCAGTACAATTTGTGCCTATTCATTTTGTATGGGTTCAAATTGCACCAAAAAGGTATCTGTAATCAGTTTAGTTGAGTACTTGAGCAGAAGTACTCGTACTCACCGATAAAAAAACAGCATCAGTGCAACCCTACCAACCCTACGAAAAATGTATTATATTGCAGCTTACCATTTACTAGATGTTGAGGCCGCATTAGCTTCTTTTTCTTTGGCTTTTTCTCTCTGTTTGCACCTGGTAATCTGGCATAGCACACCTCCGGTAATAATGAGACATAACTCTGGAGAAATGAGCACAGGAGGCACATCAGACAGCAGTCGGGGGGGGGGGGGGAGAGAGTTGAGTGTACAATGTAATAGCAGATTTAGATAAACTAACAATTTGAAGCCAGACTCCATCTCCCACTTTATAGTCAGTTATAGCAAACAGTTTTTTCCTTTTGGGATGAAGGTTTTAGATGAATAAATAAATTGTGATCATTTTAATCACCTCTTCCAGTTAAATGGTTAGTCTTATCCATGCAAACTGATGCATTCTGGGTTATTGATACATTTGGGTTTGATACTGCTTTAGGGTAAAAAATGTCCCAGCAGTTGTATAGCTCCCCCCACCCCCATATACTTACCTGAGTCCTATTTTGATCCAGCGTTGTGCCCAGCTGCAGTGGCGCTCCCCTCTCTTTGCTGTTGTCAATCATATTCTGTGAGTAGAGAGCGGGGCTGAGCTGTGCTGCGTATGTGTGTCTATGGACGCACACAGCCCAGCTCATGAGAGCCTGCAGGTGCGCCACCATAGGAAGTGACATCAGAGAAGAGAAGAAGCCAAGAGTGCAGTGAGGGACCCCAGAAGAGAAGGTTACCATTACACAGAGCAGGTAGGTAGAACATGTTTTTTAAAAACAATTATGGTTTACTACCGCATTTAAACATTGTGTGAAGGCAGCCTATTCATTATAAATGGTTAGCCACAGACAAATTAACAGACATGCCTACATACCTCACTGCAGCACAACACTGTACACACGTTATGGTGTTTTGCCATACATGTGAGCAACTGTACAGTGCATTGGTGTGCTATTCACTATGAATGGCATGGCAACACATAAAGAGCCATTTATTGAAACATGTTGCAATAACACACATGTTGGCAGGACCTACTCGGTCGTGCACATGGTACCTCTTCTCGTGCTCTCCACCTATTTATGAGTCTCATAGGGAGGAGGGCAGGCCCAGAAAAATCTTGGGAATCCAGAAAACCTAGCATTAACCCTTTCCTCCACCTGGGCAGCTCAGATGCTCCTAACTAACAGCAGCCTATCTATAGGCACCTGCCTAAATGTATTTCTGCAACTCAGAGACATGAATGTGTGCTGTCTCCAGTTACATATCACCAGTCTCCAACAAAACCTGTAGACTGTCCATTGTCTCTGACCATCTCCCATACTATGTCCACAGGCTCTGACAATCTTTTAAAGCATTACACATACAGAATAGTTTGTGTGACCCCTAGGGTCAGGGGCCATAGTTGAGACCCCTATATCCAGAAAGTTTGCCACCACTGATTTACATTATCGCTCATTCTGCAGATCATTGGGAAAAGGGGCAAGCTGTAGATAACCAAATAGTCTAATGCTAACTATAACCATACAGGCAAAAATTTCTCTCCTTCTGCCTGAGGGCTGGATGAGACAATTGTATTGTATTCCTCCATTCATGATAAGCAGTGTGGATGGAGAAATCATTCCTGCTTACTGAACGATGACTGCATGTGATTGTAATTTTCTAATTGGCACCTTTGCTTTCTTAATTTTAGTTTGCCAAGCTGGGTGGTGCCAATAGGGTTCCACAAAGGTCCAAATTTTGCAGATTCAGCAGAAGTTTGCCGAAACATGAATTGTGAATGGTCAGCTTCAGTTCAACAAACTGAGGCAGAAATAGTGAGGTTGATAGGTGATGAGATGAGAGAAGTAGAAAGTAGAAAAAGGACGTCAATGAACAGAAGCAAACAGGAGAGCAAATAAAGTGAATAAATATGAGTAAAGTGACAGAAGAGATGGGTAGTCAGATCATACCATGATGGGTGGTCTCAGGGTAATGAAAGGGAAGGTGACTAGTGAGGATCTGAGGGTATAAAAAAAAAAGAAGGGATCAGGCGGGGAGAAGTGGTGCAGAGGAAGAAAATCTGTCTACTATCATCTATTATTGCCTAGGTAGTGTTATGGTCAGAGTGGATTACTGCTTTAACCACTTGCTTACTGGGCACTTATACCCCCTTCCTGCCTAGGCCAGTTTTCAGCTTTCAGTGCTGTCACACTTTGAATGACAATTGCACGGTCATGCAACACTGTACCCATATGAAATTTTTATCATTTTTTTTGAGACAGATAGAGTTTTCTTTTGTTGTTATTTAATCACCTCTGGGTTTTTTTTTATTTTTTGCTAAACAAACCAGAAACAACTGAAAGATCTGAAAAAAAACTTTTTTTTCTAAGTTTTTGTTATAAAATTTTGTAAATAAGTGATTTTTCTCCTTCACTGATGTGTGCTAATGAGGCTGCAGTGATGGGCACTGATAGGCTGCACTGATGGGCACTGATAGGTGGCACTGATGGGCATTGACAGGCACTGGTAGGCACACTGATGGGGCACACTGAAAAAGGCAGCACTCATATATGGCACTGATAGGTGGTACTGATAGGCGGCACTGACTGGCACTGATAGGCAGCACTGACTGGCACTGTTAGGTGGCACTGACTGGCACTGTTAGGCAGCACTGATAGGCAGCACTGACAGGCGGTACTGATGTGCACTGATAGGCGGCACTGACTGGCACTGATAGGCGGCACTGACTGGCACTAATAGGTGGCACTGATTGGCATTGATCGGTGGCTTTGACTGGCACTGATAGATGACACTGAAAGGCAGCTCAGATGGGCACTGATATGTAGCATTGATTTGCACTGGTAGGCACTGATATGTGGCATTGATGAGGCACTGATGGGCACTGGCAGGTGGCATTGATGGGGCACTGACAGGTGGCACTGCTGGGGCTACACTGATCATCAGGGCACACTGATCATCAGTGTGACAGCTCGTGAAGAGAGAAATGCCGATAACCAGCATTTCCCTATTTACATGCTATCAGCTGTGATTGGACACAGCTGAATACATGACCGAGCCAACATCTTCGGCTCTTTTCATTGATTGCGCCCATCATTACCTTATATGGTGGTCGAGAGGCTTTCCTTGTCGGGCAAAGGATAAAAAGGTTTAGGTACAAAATACTGAGATCATTTCCTGAATAAACTGTGCATACAATATATATATGAGGTATGTCTAAAAAGTTTGGTGAGTAGAGCCAGAAAACAAACAAAACAGAAGATACAAACAAATGACCTTTATTGGCCCAAAATAATTGCCATACTGCACAAAACATTTTTGGTAACATTCATAAAGCTTTTGGAAACTGTTGGCAAAGGCCTCTTTAGGAATCTATTGCACCACTGTCATGCATTCTTGGATTGCCACCATGTCACCAAAACATACACCTTTCATGATGTTTGACCTTGGACCTTTGCAGGCGACTCTTTTTGGGTCGTGGGGAAGACAGTGAACGCCATTCCATTGATTTCCGCTTGGTTTTCGGATCAAACTGGTAGTACCAGGTCTCATCCACTGTGATGATGGTTCGCAGAAAGGATGGATCATGGTCACACATGGTAATGAAATCTCCAGAGGTTTCCATCCATTTTGCTTTCTGTTCACAAACCGGGAACAGATCTTCTGCTTACCCAAATTTTCACAAATGATGGTACGCATTGTGTCCTTGCTAATTGCCCAGTTCTTCCTCCATCATTCGTAGAGTCAGTTGCCGATCTCGTGCCAGCATTTGTCACACTCGTTCGATCATGACTGGGGTTCTGCTTGTCAACGGCCGACCCGAACGTGGCTCATGCTCAATCTTTTACTTCCCGTCGCAAAAGCGTTTGAACCAGTCATAAACACATTTTCTGCTCATGGCTTCTGTCTCCATTGCCAGTTTCCCCAATTAGTAGCAGAATTTGAAGTTCACTTGTTGCTCCATCGTAGTGTGACCCTACCTCTTACACTGACAACATTCAACTGCCCACAGTGCAAACATGGCCCATGTTGCCATTGAATTATCGGATCATTTACCATACTTTTTAGACACACCTCTTATATACATATACAGTATATATCTATGTCATATACTGCGTTTCTTACCTAAGAGATGACACCAAGATCCACTATGGGAAGAAGGCAAGCCAGCGGAGGCTTTAAGGATCTGCTACTGATGGCTTGTTGTCAGATACCACAGCATAACAAGGTCCATGCCTCGATATCAGAGCTGTTATATTGCCAAAAGGGAAACTTACTGAATACAAGGTGCGTAGTCATGATGTTACGGCAGATCAGTGTAAATCCTGTATAGGTTGAAACATACACATTAGTCTCTAAGGAAGGCACTTTTCTTATCATCATAAATATTTTCTGGTTGCAATGCTATGCTGTAGTGCACCAAATGCAGAAAAGAGACTGCCTACGTACTGTGTGAAGCCGAAAAAAGTTAAAAGTTATTTTGTACAAAATTATTTAGTTTAATTGACCATACTAATCTGTAATTCTTTAAAACATAGAGTGAACATAATTAAACATTTATCTTGAACACGTTGAGAAGAGCAAATAAAAAAACTGCGGGAAGGATGTTGAATGAAGGGTGTTTGGTGTCTTTATTCTGATTATTTTAATACCCCTAACATTTTGGCAATGCGAGCAGAGTACCTGTCACTAAGGTGCTATCAACCAGTCAAATGTCAATAATCAATCACCCTGGCAATTGTCCCTATGGAAACTACTGGAGCCAGTTCAAAAAGCTCTCCGATATTTTATTCCCACCATTATTAAGCTGAAATGGCTTGCATTCAACAATAAGCGATGTAAAAGCAGTGTTGCTCATTCTACCACCAATCAAGACAGTAGACTTCAATAGCAATAGCTCAATACCTAGGATGTCTCTACAGTGTAGTCACATGTAATCGCTTCATAAGTTTCCTATTACAAGTCAGCAGTTATGGATTATGGTAACTATGTAAACTAAACCTGTGAATGTTTTTGACCTCTGTTGGAGTATACAAGAATATCTAACTTTCTTTTTTGTAAAATACTATGATTACCCTAAAATCCACACATTATGATTGAAGATTTAGTGACCTGGTTTGGTGTAGTAGTTCAGCTTTTTTCACCACTGAAATGGTCCCATTACACCCTGTAGCTAACTGGAAGGGCAGAAATAGGGGACTTCACAGAATCCAGTAAGAGACTTGCTTAAATTTGTTTCTATGGCAGTACCTGGTTTTAAGGTAAGCAGGATGCTTTAAAAAAAAAAAAAATAACTGGGTGTACTTCTTTTTGCAAATTTGATTGCCCTGGGTGACTACACAATGGTACAATAGGATGCTACAATAACTGAATAACAGGGTATATTCATAAACTCTACTCAACACCTTGCCATGCTGCTCTTCCTGCTTCTGCGTAAATAATAATTGCTATTGGCTATGCATTATTACCTTGCCCATAATTTACTATTGAATGTATGGCTCTATCACCTACAAAGAGAACCACTGCATAGAGGATCCCATGCATCACTCTGATGGAGAAATAAAAGATATGTAAATCAATGGAACCAAATCAATGGAAGCAAAGGCAATGAATGGAGACAAAATGGTGTAAACTGCCTATTCAAGACTTGCAAAACTAGTTAAAAAACGTGGCGTTTCTATTCCACACAAAACTCAGAACCAAGGATAATTATTTCTAAAATACCAGAACTTCATTTATTGATACAAATTTTACAGACTTGTCAAATGACTCTTCTAAATAGGTTTGCTATAGTAAATATAGAGTAGGCGTCTGCTTATCTTCCGTAAAAAGTACACTATTGTCTTTTTTTTCCATTGACGTTTTATCTTAAAACGAATAAAGTCATCATGAACCAATAGTAAGGGGAAATGCCTCACAGGAAATATGACTCATAGGGGACAGTATTTAGTTGCCTTTTGAGTACTAAGCCAAAAAACCCTAAGGATGGATTGTCTGGTGTGTGCCATCGACTTAGATGACTAGTGCTACATATGTATTAGGTAAAATATATTTTTTATGCACAATTATTTCTTGGAGTGTATCAATTTGTATATTAGTTGCAAAATAAATGTTGTTTGAAAAGTTTAGCTTTTTGAATTTTATTTCTGCTTTAAAAGCATCCAATTTTTCAAATTATCATAAACAAGGTTTTTTTTTATGTTAAAGCTGAACGTTTTTTTTTCTTTATAGCTATATATAGCTAGCTAGCAAATGAAAAACAAATAGGCTTTGGTTGTATACATGTGTAAATAGATGTAGAAGCTACATTGCCACATCAAGGCACCTGAATGTGAACTCCAATTTTAAACTGTCTTAGGACTCGTTTACCCTTGCAGTCAGGGGAATTAAAGAGAGATGGTTTAGCCATGTTTTCACTGCCCACTGACTGCCCCTTAAGCTATAAAGGCGGCCAGGTGGTCTTTACACATACCATGCCCCCAATGCTTTCCTTTGCGGCTATGGTAAAATTGTTCCACTCATCGCATTCAACTAGCAGTACCACTCCCGAATGTGACTCATTCAAGCAAATGATGGCTGCACTGTAACAGCATTTACAGGGTTAAAACGGGATGTGAGGAGGCAAATATATCACCTCCTAGTCATCTGTCAACCTGCTAGAGGGGAGCTACATCTAAGGTTAGCCTGAAGGTGGCCATACATGGACTCCCTCACTGTCAGAATACGCTGATCAGCACTGCAGCCAATTGGTTTTAAGCACTGCTTGAGCAAAAATATACAAACAAGACTTTTCGTAAAAAGTCGATTGGTAGATTGACATCTCATGAACTGGAATGGCCGTTCATGAATTTAAATTCCTGCTGAGCTGTCAAAATTTTGATCCATGTATGGCCAGCTTTAGGCAGCCCATAGATTATGCAATTTTTTTTCACTCCACCATGGACTGAAGTAAAGAAAATTGCTTGATTCTCAAATCAAAACAGTCAGTTGAACCCCTACTGCAGCGTTATTGTGTTCTGCCGGCGTGAAGCCTTCCTTACCAGCAGAACACAATGATTATTGCTGCAGGAGGCTGGCTGGATGGATTGACTTCAGTACAACCAGCCTGCCCATAGATGGATCAAATCTCAGAGCTAGTCCCTGCTGAATCAGCCAAGATTCAATCCATCTATGGCTGGCTTTAGTTTCCTATCTATGAGAACATATTGTGTATAGTAATGCACAAATGGGCAGGTTTGCCTGAAGGCAGTCCTTTCCTTCTTAAAGATACAAAAACACACCAGAGGTCAAGACACCACCTTCACAAGGCAGCTGGAGGTCTCTAATGTATGTTTGTGCCAAATCCTGAAAAGCAAACATGGCAGTCTCTCTGAACTGTTTAAAACTAGCAAAGAGGGCAAGGTACACATGGGTAGGCCAATATAAGAGGGACATTCAAGTCAAACTGGGACTTTTGAGTTTATACAATAAAAGAACAAATTTCAAGGAGTGGAAACTGCATTTATTTTCTAACTTACTGCCCTGCTACATTTATACACTTATCCCAGCTTTTATTGCCTGGAAAGCTTCGGAATAGAAAGATTTGTCAGTATGCCTAAACCATTCTAGGACAGCCTGCTTCACTTTGTGAATGATTGTGTTTGGTGTTTCCACAGAAAGATTCTTCTTTTGTGTAATTTTATGTCATGTTATGCATCGATTATCCAGGATCAGGAGTTCCACGCATTGAATGTTTACAGGAATGACTGCTGTGGGCTGGGAACCGCCACGCCTGGGATCATCACTGATGGACGTACGGCCATCTTTGAAACCGTTTACACCATTCAAATGTCTTACTGCGTCTCACTATACTGTGTTTGAAGTCTTCTGTAGATAGCCATGGGTTTTACATATGTTGTTCCATGCACGCACTAACACTGTTGTCTGCCATCTTGATTAATGGTCTCTGGACTGGCCAGTGACATGTGTGCCACACATCAGTAATAGGACACACTTGCCACTTACTACTGCATGTAGTACCGCCACGCTATACCTGTAAAATATATTGTCCCGATTTGACTTAGTACAAATAGTACAAAGGGTTACTCCAGCACACTGTAGCTGGTCC